CGGCAAAACGCTGGGTTGCCAGATTGTGTGAACTTAACCACTCGGCCACAGAGCTGGCCCCAGATTGTCCTTTCTTAGTAGAGTAGTTATAGTTGTCTAGTCTCTTAGCAAATTTGATGGTCATAGTACAACATTGGTGGACATAATCTTGAATGTTAAGGTTTCGGAAAGCATATCCTATTAGAACTGGGAAGAATACAAGATTGCTGCTTTTGCTACTTCTAGTCAGTGTTGTATTGTAGGTCTCATTCAGACTCACAAAGCCAGAAAAAAAAATTATATATATGTGTCCTAAGGATTAAAGCCGAAAAATAAAACTGTCATTATTTACAGACGTGATTTCTTATGGTGAGAAAACTAAATATACTGTTATTTGAATTGACAAAAACATTTAGGAAGACTGCTAGTTACAAATTCAACTGCACTTTATGCATCAACAAAAATTAGAAAAATTCTAATATTAATACTGGTTACAATAACGAGGCAGTTATAAAATGCTGAAAAATAAGTCTAACAAAAATACACAATATTTTTAAAGAAGATTAGAATATATTGAATATTTTTGAAGAGAAACACAAGGAAAGGCCTTCCTTATGTATTAAAAGTCCAATGCATGAGATATTCTAATTCTTCCCTAAAATTATTTAGAGATTCACAAACTAAGAGTATACACTAAGAAAAGAAGAAATAGGCCTATTTTCATTAAAAAATCAGGCAATGATAGAATAACAGAATTGGACACCAGTTACCCAAAAATAACTGCAAAAAAACTTCTCAAAAGTGTCAGTATAATTCAGGCATTTTAAAAAAGATAATTCATTATGTCCAAATTGGGTTTTTCTAGAATTACAAGGTTGATTTAACATTGGAGAAATCAGTGCTCCATAGTTAAAAACAGACGAGTATATGCAATCTGATCAATGACAAGAAAGGCGCCATAGAGAAAAAAGAAAAGATGATCTTTTCAATAAATAGCCCTAGAGAGAGTCATATCCATGCAAGAGAAATTATTAGACATAGTAACACCATATATAAAAATCTATTCCAGATGGATTAAGCACATCAATGTGAAAATCAAAGACAAGGTAGCAGAATGTATTTAAACCACAATGTAGAAGAAAATTTGTGCAGACATCAGTTAGGTTGGATAAGTCTGGCTTTGAAAAAATTAAGAATTCCTTTTCCTTAAGATACCACCACAAATAGAAAGACATCATCTTGACTTCCAGCGATTTTTCACATAAATACACCACTCTGTCATCCACTGTCAACAGAGTGTGGGAGCAAATGTGTTCATTTTACCTCATACAGCATTTAGCATTGCTGTTGCTAGGAGGCCCAGGAGCTGGATGAGGCCAACCTGCAGGATTGACCTCACCCAAAACTTGGGCTCAGTCAACTGTGAACAAGCTTCAGCAGGACTTGAAGTTTTATTGCAGATAACCAATGATGTCATCTAAGACCAGTCTGTTATACATTGCAGCACACAAAGGAGTTACGACTAACCACCTATCCAAGAGAATCATGTCACAACCCACTTTTCTCCAAATACAAATATAATATGAGTGTACCCGGACCACTTCTGATCAGGACTTAGCATTAAGATTGATTCAGTTTATTAAACTGTTGTAAGCCCCATTGGAAGTGACATTAAGCAGCGACAACGTCTATGGCCATACATGCTACCCAAGTGTCAAAAGTATACGAATTTTTTACCTCTAAATTGGAACAAGGTTGTGATGGTTTGTGTGTCTCTATCCTAAGGCTGTTTTCAGGAACTTCCAGTGATGGCATCAAGCACGTTAGAATATCGGGATGTGCCGTGCTCACATGCGGTTTTATATTTCATAGCGTATGGAGGGGATGAAAAACCTAGCAGCAAGTTGCATGCCAGGTGCAGCTCCTGCTGGACACAGGCAAACAATACGGTTGCCTTCTATCCCCATTTTATTCAGGATTTTTATCATGAATGGCTGTTGGATCTTGTCAAATGCTTTCTCTGCATCTATTGAGATGATCATGTGATTTTATTCTTTATTTTATTAATGTGGTGTATCACATTGATTGATTTGCAAATGTTGAACCATCCCTGCATCCCTGGAATAAATCCCGCTTCATCATGATGTATGATCTTTTCAATGTATTGTTGTATTCAATTTGCTAGTATTTTGTTGAGGATTTTTGCATCGATGTTCATTAGTGATATTGGCCTGTAATTTTCATTTTTTTGTGTTGCCCTTGTCTGGTTTTGGTATCAGGATAATGTTGGCTTCATAGAATGAGTTAGGAAGCTTCCCCTCCTCTTCAGTTTTTCAGAAGAGTTTGAGAAGGGCAGATATTAAGCCTTCCTTGAATGTTTGGTAGAATTCGCCAGGGAAGCCATCTGGTCCTGGACTTTTATTTTTGGGGAGGTTTTTGATTGCTGTTTCAATCTCCTTACTGGTGGTTGGTCTATTGAAATTCTGTATTTCTTCCTGATTCATTTTTGGAAGGTTGTATGATCCTAAGAATTTACCCATTTCTTCTAGATTATCCAATTTGCCGGCATATGACTTTTCATAGTATTCTCTTGTAATCTTTTCTATTTCTGAGGTGTCCACTGTAATTTTTCCTCTTTCATTTGTGATTTTATTTATTTGAGCCTTCTCTCTTTTTATCTTGGTGAGTCTAGCTAAACGCTTATCAGTTTTGTTTATCTTTTCAAGGAACCAACTCTTCCTTTCATTGATTTTTTTTTCTATTGTTTTTATTTAAGTCTCTGTTGCATTTATTTCTGCTCTGATTTTTACTATTTCTTTCCTTCTGCTTTTGGCTTTGCTCATTCTTTTTTCAGTTCCTTCAGGTGCACTGTTGCATTGTTTATTTGAGATTTTTTTGTTTGTGGAGGTAGGCCTGTATTGCTATAAACTTGGCTCTTGGAACTGCTTTTGCTCCATCCCATAAATTTTGGCATGTCATGTTTTCATTTTCGTTTGTCTCCAGGTATTTTTTTTTAATTTCTTCATTGACCCAATCGTTTTTCAGTGGCATTTTGTTTACTCCCCACCTTTTTGTGTCTTTTCCGATTTTCTTCTTGTAGTTGATATCTAGTTTCATACCATTCTGGTCAGAAAAGATGGTTGGTATTATTTCATTCAGTGTTCTTAAATTTATTGAGACTTGTTTTGTGGCCTAACATGTGATTAGTCCTGGAGAACGTTCCACGTGCATTTGAAAAGAATGTGTATTCTGTGGTTTTTGGATGGAATGTTCAGTATATATATATACTAAGTCCAACTAGTCTGATGTGTCACTTAAGGCCAAAGTTTCCATATTGATTTCATTTTGGATGATCTATCCGTTGGTGTAAGTGAAGTGTTAAAGCCCCCTACTGTTGTGTTGCTGTCTATTTCTCCTTTTATGTCTGCTGGTATTTGCTTTACATATTTAGCTGCTCCTATGCTGGATGCATAGATATTTACAAATGTTATATCCTCTTGTTGGATTGTTCCCTTTATCATTATGTAATGCCCTTCTTTGTCCCTTGCTATAGTTTTTTATAAAGTCTATTTTGTCTGAGATAAATATTGCTACCCCAGCTTTCTTTTCATTGCCATTTGCATGGAGTATCTTTTTGCATCCGTTGACTTTCAGTTTGTGCGTGTCTTTAGGTCTGAAGTGTGTCTCTTGTGTGCAGCATATGTGGGCCTTGTTTTTTCATCCAGTCAGCCACCCTGTGCCTTTTGATTGGAGCATTTAGTCTATTGACATTTAAAGTAGCTATTGATAAGAATGTACTTATTGGAATTTTGTTACTTTTTTCTGGGTATTTTAGTAGTTCTTCTCTCTTCCTTTCTTCTTCTCCTACTCTCTTCCCTTGTGCTTTGCTGGCTTTCTTTAGTATTATGTTTGGGTTCCTTTCTCTTAATTTTTTGTGTATTTATTCTAGGTTTCTGGTTTGTGATTACCATGAGGTTCATGTATAATAACCTATGTATGTAGCAATCTGTATTGAATTGATGGGCTCTTTAGTTTGACCTCTTGCTAAAAGCCCCACTCTTTTACTCCTCTCCTCTCCTCTCACATTTTGTTTTTGATATCATGTCTAATCTCTTTTTTTTTTTTGCATCTCTATCCATTACCCTCTTATCATGGAAATAGATAATGTAGGCACTTTTTTCTTTTGACCTTCATATTAACGTCATAGGTGGTTGATCTGCTACCTTTATTGTATATTTGCCTTTACCAGTGATTTCATGGCTTTTTTTGATAATTTTATTACTCCTATTTGTGGTCTTCTCTTTTCCACTTGTATAAGTCCCTTTAGCATTTCTTCTGAGACTGGTTCGTTGGTGATAAACTCCTTTAGTTTTTGCTTGTCTGGGAAACTCTTTATCTCTCCTTCCATTCTGAATGATATCGTTGCTGGCTGGAATATTCTTGGCTGTAGGTCTTTTTCTTTCAGCACTTTAAATATATTTTGCCACATGCTTCTACCTGTAGGGTTTCTGCTGAGAAATCAGCTGATATCCTCATGGGGCTTCCTTTATATGTAACTTTTTGCCTTTCTCTTGTGGCTTTTAGAATTCTCTCTGTTTAATTCTCAACATTCTAACTATAAAATGTTTCTTGGCGTGAGCCTCTTTGTGTTTATCTTGTTTGGTCCTCTTGTGCTTTCTGTACCTGAATATCTGTTTCCTTCCTTAGGTTATAAAAGTTTTCAGCTGTTATTTCTTCAAATAGATTCTCTGCCCATTTGTCTCTCTTCTCCTTCTAGGACACCTGTAACACGGATGTTAGTGCACTTGATGTTGTCCCAGGGGTCCCTTAGACTGTCCTTATTCTTTTTAATTCTTTCTTTCTTTTATCTGTTCAGCTTGGGTGATTTCCTCTAGTCTTTCATCCAGCTTGCTGATCCGTTCTTCTGCATCCTCTACTCTGCTATTGAGTCCCTCTAGTGAATTTTTCATTTCCAGTATTGTGTTCTTCATTTCTAATTGGTTCTGTTTTATATTTTCCAGTTCTTTGTTGAAGTTCTCACTGAGTTCATCCATTCTTCTCCCAAGATTAGTGAACATCCTAATGACTGTTTGTTTGAACTCTTTTCAGGTAGGTTGTTTGTTTCTGTTGCATTTAGTTCTTTTTCTGGGGTTTTGTCCTGTTCCTTTACTTGGAATGTATTCCTTTTTCTTCTCATTTTTCCTCTTTCTCTGTGCTTATATCTATGTATTAGGTAGGTCAGCTATGTCTCCTGACCTTGCAGAGGTAGCCTTATGTAAGAGATGCCTCATGAGGCCTAGCACTGTGCTTCCCTCTCATCACCAGGTCCGAATATTCCAGGAGTGTCCCCTGTGTGGGCTACATGTGTCCTTCTCTTATGTCAGGGTTGTTCTTGCTGCAGTGCCTGGGGAGGCTAGGCTGTCTTCCTGCCTGGCTGGTTGTAATGTTCAGCTGCATGTGGCTGTTATGGTCCTTTCAGTCACTATCAAGTGAGAGGAGCCCCAGCACAGTTGGCTGCAAGGTCTAATAGCACATTCCTATTTCAGTTTTTCTGCTAAATGAGTAGGTCCCCAGTGTGCCTAGTTGCTAGGCTCAAGGGCTTATAATTGCTGTAGGCCTCTGGCCCATAAGACTATTGTCAGTTCTGTCAGGAGTGCAGGTGGGTGGGGCAGCACCCAGTTGTTTCAGGCTGTAGAAGATGGTGCTGATCCCTTATGTGGCTGCCTGAGAACAAGTCTACTGCAGCTGACAAGCCCCACTGCCCACGGGGCCACACATCCTGCTGTTACAGTCCTGCCCCATGTGTGCGCCAAGACCCACTGAAGCAGACCCACTTGCCCTCATGCGGAGGCCGCACTGTTGTCCGCAGCCACAAAGGGCAAGGAATGACAGGTACCGCCAAGGCTACTTGGTTGTTTAAGCAATCAGAGGTTATTGATAGAGGAGACCAGAACAAGGAGTGGGGAAGCAAACAACAAATCAGTACTTACAACGTCCACACCGCAATCAGACGGGGAAGTCCCAATAGTTTGTAAGACAGGTGGGAGTGCCGATTGTCCGGGTCTGAGGCACAGCATCCTCTCCTCAGTGAGACTCTCAATTGTTCTATGCTTGTGAGTCCCTTTTATTCTAATGTTTTCTGGGTTCTGACTCAGGGTTTCAGACATTTAGATACTTTGAGTTATTTCTTTTTGTTCCCACGGATGGGATGTTTCTATAGTCCGGTCAGGTGCCCTTCGGGGTGGCCAGCCCAGACAAGGAACATGACGCAGGACATTGTCTTAGTAACTTGTGCCTTGGGGTCAGGGTCGAAGTGGCCATCTTTGGCCCCGAGCCCAGACACATTCTTTCTCACAGGCCCCAGATCCCAGTGTCCCTGGAAGGCGGGGAGGTCAGTGAACTCTGTACACCCACACACTTCACCAGTGCAGGCCTGCTCTTCGCACACGCCCAGCCCTGCAGGCATGGACCCACTTGCCCAGCTGCAGAGCTTCCAGGCACTCCACCTATGCAGGCAGCTGCCTGACCTGGATGAGCTAGGTTGAATAAGTGCTCTACTGAGTGGGGCAGACTTCTGCAGTCACAGGCCAGGGGAGGAACTCCAACGGCCTCTGCAGCGTCCGTGTCAGCATGCTTATCGTAGGTCACGATAATGGCTACTGCTAGTGTCTTAGTCCCTGGAGAGGGAAAGTCACTCTAGAGAGTTTCTCACAGAGATGCGCCTAGGACCTATCAGGTGAGTCTCTTTTTGCCAAAGGACTGTGTACCTTCTTTCTGGAGATTTTAGCTTCCTTTCCGAAATGGGTGAATTTCTGTGTGCGCCTTTTCAGGGCAGGCTTCTCTTCTCTCTTATGTCTGATAGCTTTTCTGGAGGGTATTCTCTATTATAGTTAATAGCGTGCACACATGTTCATAGAAGCACTATTTATAATAGCCCCAAACTGGAAATATCCAAATGTCCATCAGCTGGTAATTGGATTAGCAAGATGTGGTATATACATACAATAGAATACTAATCTGCAATTAAAAGGAACAATATATTGACACATTGTTACACATGGATGAGCCTCAAATATATGCTAAGTAGCAGAATCCAGATACGAAAGACCTCATATTGTGTGATTCCATTTATATAAAATCTCTAGAAAAGGTAAATTTATAGAGGCAGAAACTGATAGGTGGTTTTTTGGGCTGAGGTAAAAGTGGGAATTAACTGCAAAGGGACACGAAGTTACTTGTCGAGGTGATAAGAATGTTCTAAAACTAGATTGTGTAATAATGGCATAACTCTATAAATTTACTGAAATTTACATAATCACGGGTGAATTTCATGTATGAAAATTACACCACAATAAAAATGTTAAAAAATAAATGCCTAAAGAGATTTTCCTGGAATTACCCAAGGTAAGTTGAAAAATTTAACCTTTGTTTTCCACAAGATGCATTATACACCAATGTTAGTATACCCCCTCTTCTGTATTGCAATCAATCACCTGCATCTCTCTGGTCCCCTCAGTTTGTACACAGTACACAACAAATGCACGTTGGATTAAACTTAATAGAATCAAAGTGAATTGAAGCCACATCAAATGTCTTTCATTTCTAACAAATTATAATTTTTGAGTAATTTTGCAATTCCTACTATGTCTCCAATAATTACTTTCTTTTTTTCTCTCAATGTCCCTAAACCCATTTGTGATATTGTCTTGATATATCACAGTCTTATTACCTGTGTTAGTTTTGTTTCCTGCAGATGCAGACACTAAGTCAAGGATTCATGTACAAGCATTTTAGTGGAAAGAGAAATGAATGGATGGGAGACAGGAGAAGTGGACACAGGGAAGAAAATATATCCAATAAAGCTTGCGTTAAGTCAGCTAACATTGTGATTGAGCAGAGTTTTAATCCTGTGGGGAAATTCTGGAAAATAATACAAAATCCAAACCTCAAAATTATCCCAGCTAGAGCCAGCCCTGATGGCCTAGTGGTTAAAGTTTAGCACTTACTACTTCAGCGACCTGCGTTTGCTTCCTAGCTGTGGAACTACACCACTTGTCTGTCAGTTGCCAAGCTGTGGTGGTGGCTCACAGAGAAGAACCAGAACAACTTAGAACTAGGATATACAACCATGAACTGGGGCTTTAGGGAGGAAAAACATTATCCCAGGTAAAGGGTGAAGGAGATGGCATACCTCACACCTCCCCTTCAAGGGCTGTCTCTGATGGGCATAATTCCCTGTCGCTTCTGCCACTGCATATTGGGCAAAGTAGGTTTCAGCTGGTGCCGGCCGTTGGCAGTCATGCAATGGAGGTGGTGAGAGGATCCCAGGGGACGTAAGATGAAAGTTGACGGCAGCTGCTACTCCATCCTTCCCTGCAGACTCAATTCTATCAACGTTCTTCTCAAAAAGTTAGTTAAGTTCTCAACACCTCCGCACCTGTGCAGCTATGATTCCTGATGGCGCTTCAGAGAGTCCCAGAAAAAAAGACCACATGACAAAACAACTCTGATTCTACTATATTCACTACTAAATGCTTTAGGATCTTAGAGGGTGTATCTCAAAATTACAATGATGGGAAATTAAGGCCAAATGAAGGTAAGCAAGAAAGGAATGAAGGGGGGCAGGATCACAAAGAATGAAGCAACATCTCAGACTCATTCTAGGTATTGTATTACTGCAAATCATCTGGATGAAACAGTTTTTAAATCTGTATTTCTACTTGGAAGTTGAAAATGGCATTACTGTCCCCAGGAAAAGTAGGATGGCAAAGTGAGCATCAGCTGCCCAACTCAGTCTGTCTCTTCTGTTGAAAAGTGGGATAAATGAGACAAAATATCTCAAAGACAGGTTTTCAAGTTGAAATAAAGTCATACAAGTGAAGAAGCAGGCACAGTCCTGATGTAGTATTTTGTTGTGACTACTGTATGATTTTCATTCCATTTCTTCTGGGGAGAACAAGCACACAAACAAATGAACATGAAGGACTGCAACACTGGAAAGGATAATTTTGGGGAAACCGCATCAGCACTTGATATGATAAGTGCTTTAAATCTCAAGTTAGAAATCTCTAGAATGGCTGCAAGAAAGCTGACCCAACATGGAACTATATAAAGAGCATATAGGGAAGAAAAGTCACAAAAGAATAACTCAGGAGGTTGTTGAGGAGAAACTAATACAAAAATAAATAAAAGTGAATCCTAGGTGCTTTGGGAATTGAAGAAATCAAGCATGGCTTTTAGGGGAGAAAAAGAACCAGGAGATTTAAATTTTCAATAATTGTCTTTGGGGCTCACAGTGTCCACTGAGTTCTGAGGAGAGTGACCCATCATGGACAAGGGGCTGCTTGGCTGAGGACCCTTCCCAAGGCCCCCTTCATATTCTTGTTCCTCAGGCTGTAGGGGAAGGGGTGCAGAATGGGAGGAGCGCAGCATACGTCACTGAGGCGATTGAGTTTCTCTGGGAAGAATGGGTCACGGCAGAGCTGAGGTGGACCCCCAGGCTTGTCCCATAGAACAAGGAGACCGCAGAGAGGTGAGACCCACAGGTGGAAAATGCTTTATATTGCCCCTCAGCAGAAGCCATCTTCATTAAGGAGGAGACAATCTGAGAGTAAGAGAAGAGGATTCCAGTGAGGGGAAATGCACACAGGAGGGCAGTTGCCACATACAAGATGATGTTATTGAGGGTGTCAGAGCAGGCCACCTTGAGAACCTGAGCCGGTTCACAGAAGAAATGTGGCATTTCAGTGCCTACATAGAAAGTCAGCCAGCTCAACAGAATATGAAGCAGGGAGATAGATAAAATTATCCCAGCACATCAGAACCGGGAGGCCACAGAGGCATGTGTTCATGAGACCACGTAGTGCAGGGGGTGGCAGATGGCCACAAACCAGTCATTGGCCATCACAGTCAGGAGGAAATCATCCATTCCTGCAAGAACCATTAAAAATCACCTGAGCAAGACATCATATATAGGAGATGTCTTTGTGTCTGGAGGCTCACGAGCATCTTCAGGATGGGGTTGGAGATGAAGCAAATATCAACTCGTCTCTAACAGGTTGGAGAGGAAGACTCACTTGGGTGTGTGGAGGCAGGGATCAGAGCTGGTGGCCAGGATGATGAGCTGGGTCCTGAGGACAGTGACCAGGCACACAGACAGGAAGAGTCAAAAGAAGAGAGGCTGCAATTTAGTATCATCTGAGAGACCGAGGAGGAGGAGGAGAGCTTTGATTTAGAAAATGGAATCTTGAGTCAGACTTCCTAGAATAGAATTTTGTTCCACCCAATTACTATCTGCGTGACCTTGACAAATTTATTTAATCTCTCTTAGCTGCAGATACCTCACCTCTCCAATGAGAGTAGTCAATATTCTCCCCACTGTAAGACTGATGAGTAAATTAAGTGAGATGATGCACGTAATTTTTCTTGTGATGTACAGTGGATGCTTGGTAAATGTGATGTTTGTTCTTAATGTCACAATAAATCTGTCTTGCATGGCTGTCATTATCAAATTTCCTTTAATTAAGAGAGTCATTAATGATGGAATTCTGATCATTATAAACACAACATGTCTGTTAACTCTTTTGACCACCATGCAGCACTTGCAATTCATGAGGATCCCTATGTCTCCACGTTTCAGAAACTGTCTGCCAGGTGGATTCTTCCAAGAAGAGGCAAAAGCACGTGGCCTACATAGATAAGAGGAGGGAAAGAAATCACAAAACCATTCAAATAAAGTACAAAGCGTGTGTGAGAGTGTGTACGTGCTCTGAAGTGGGAATGTGTTGTATTAAAAAACAATGGAATGAATTGCAAAAAACATGATTGATAGATTTGATAAAAAATATTCAATGCTTCTATAAATGAAATTATCCTAAAAGTTGGAAGGAAAATTTAAAATAAATGCCTACATTGTCTAACTTAAAAAGCATCAGTGTTATTAATGTTAGAGAAAATTAATTAAAGAGAAAAATCATTGAAGATGAATTTTGACTGGGAGGTAGATAGAAAAGTCTTCTCTGAAATGTAAATATTTGAGCTGTGAGAAGGATGGACTATGTTAACCAGGGGAAATAAAGGAAGGGCTAGCATATTGGGCCAAGGGGACAGAACTAAGGTTGCCCTGAGGGTGGGTGAGCTGGAGAATGGAAGGATTTGAGAGACCAGTGAGATGGAGAACAGAGAGTGAGGGTCAGGAGGACAGAGTGGGTGAGGCCCACAAGCCCAGCATCCTGTATTATTCCTTGATGTGCCTCTCACATTAGTAATTTTATATTTATTTGTGGGTCAGAGGATGTGACTGTTTTTGCTCATCATTGTCTGTCTAGGGACTTACATGGTCCCTGGCACATAGTAGGTGCTCAACAAATACAAATGTCAGATATAAAATAAAGATTGAGACCCAATGCATTAACTATAACACAAACAAGAAATCTTCAAGCTCACACATACCCTAATATAGACACAAAATTGAATAGTAAACAAATAAAATGTACTCATATCAATTTTAAGAGAATAATACACCAAGAATTAGTAATACATATTCTAGGAATGGAAAGCTGGTTTAATACTGTGATGTTTATTAATATAATGCATCACAAAAATAGGTCGGTGAAGAGAAATCATAACCACAATTACAATATGCATTTGAGAAAATGTAACAGCCATTAGAGTGGTTAGCAGCCAGGACAAAGCCTTTCACTAAATGAGGAAACTAAGGACATTTTCTAAACCCAATAAAGAATAAAGGATATTCTACATTACAACACTGAAATATTTGTGTTAAATTCATGAACAGACCAAAGCAGTCTATTCCAGCTTCAATCACTTGATAGTTTCTTCAATATTTAAAGAGATTGGTAAAATGATAAAGGAAATTGGGGGGAATACTGAACATCAGAAATAAATCTATTATTTGCAGATGTTGTGGACACTAAGGTGAAACAGCAGCAATCAATACAGAACCACTAAATGCTATCAGCAAGTCGAATCTGCTGCAAAAAGAGGGAATATAATACACAAATCCAATAACATGAGGAACGAAATAGATGGTACTGCGTGCATCACAGATCTGCAGTGAGTAGTTAATGAATAAATGATTGGACACAGGAAAGCCAACAGGAGCCTACAATCATGAGAAAGAGTGGAGAAGAGGTGAACCCTCTCCCGGAAATAACTTTCATTGGAGAGAGGCTCTAGAGTCCAAAAAGAGGTAGAAGAAAACAGAACGAGAGCCGGAAAAGACTGGTTTCTGTAGAAACTAAAGTACCTTCAAAGTACAGAGACTTCACCTTTGTAGACTAAATAATTATGGCACTGTCCCATCTCATTATTCTGAAGTTAGAGCCGAGGACCCATGCTCCTCTTTTCCTTCTTCCTCCACCAGCCCTCGCTGAGACACAATGAGCCTTTCTGACGGTTATCGCTGAAGATTTCTGTTCGCTGAAGATTTCTGTTCGTTGAGGTCTGCCCCTGGGAACCACAGTTGTATTTTCACTAGGCAGAAATCAGAGAATTATAGGAAAAGGGCAAAAGGGCAAAAGGGACATGCTATTATCATCTTAAGGCTTGAGTTATTAGAACTCCTCATTAAAGAAATTGTTCTATTGGCTTTCCACTTTGCAAATAATTCAGCTACTTTGGGGTACAAATATAAAAGAACAAAATTTTCAGCCAATCTTGTCAAACAGTGGGGGAAGAAGAAGGTATTTTCTTAAAGGAAAAATTCTTTCTTTGGTTTGACTTAAAATGACAAGTTGTCCCCTAAGGAAAGTTTAATTTTTACAGGAAAACCCCCAGGAACCACTTCTCTGTGATGTTTTCCCCTTGGAATATCTTTGTTGATTTCAGGGATCAATTGTTGTCCAGAGTGTCATGGAGGCAAAGAGATCCTTTCTGGAAAAAAGCAGGGTGATTAATAGTTTTCCTTTTATTTAAAGAATTAGCCAAATGAAGATGGAAAATATCCCTTGACATTTGCGGGTGATTTGGAGGTCTCTGTTGATATTTGGGAGGGCTCCATTTAATACCTCTAAATAGAGGGGCCGGGGAAAAAACATTCCAGGCAGAGTGGGTTGAAGAGTGAGTATTGAGGAAACATAGGTGGCAAATATAAATCATATATAAAGTTTGTTAAAGAAGGGGAGGACAGAGGAGAAACAGCCTAAAAGGAATATCATGTATGGGACAGTTAAAAAAACAATAGAAGATTCTGGAAGATGATTAATTTCAAGGAGAATGGCCATATTTAGTGTAGGCATGTGATCACAAAGGAAATGCTGACTATGCAATTTGTAGGATGTAGTATACACTCTAAATCAATGACAATCATAATGTGCTGTGTCTCCAATTTAGAGGATACGTGGGTCTAGAAATCAAGGATTGGAAATTAGGAACAGCCTCATCTAATAATCCCTCCCAGTGAGCCGCTTGGAGAGTTTTTGCTTCAGGTCTCCACACCTCTTGCCTCTGCGTGTTTAGAGGTCTTGACTACTAAAGGGGTAACACTTCCAGAGATGTGGGGAAAGCCCCATTAAATTTCAAGCTGTGCTGTAGCCTGGCACTGCAGGTCCCTCATGCCAAGAAGAGGAGTCACTGTCCTGGCAGGTGTAATTTACCTGATCATCAATGTCGTGTGATCATGGTGATGGGCATGCACTGGTTCCCTGCTGTGCTCAGTCGCTGGCTGGGAGCAGCCCAGGAGCAACCTCAGCACACACAGGGGTGGATGCAGATGGCTGTTGGTCAGTCATGCTTTCATGGCAAGAGTTCTGAGTGGTGTGAGCCTAAGTGAGGCAGGTTCCTTTAGCCGAGGGCAATTCACAAAGAAGGCTGAGGGCCGAGGGCTGTCGGATGGCTGCACTCCCCGCACCTGGAAGAAGAATAAGTCCTTAATCCTGAAGGAGGATCTGAGCGATACAGCACAGCAGTCACTAGAGTCCATCCCTTGGGACATGTGAATCAACTTTTTTAAAATTGAGACATAATTGACATAGAACTTCGTATTAGTTTCAGCTGTACAACAGAATGATGTGATATTGTTACAGGCTCTTAACATCAGCCCTGATATCAGTCCCCCACATTGAACCCAGCGTACATGGGGTTAAAACTAAAACCCACCACCCCCTTTCCTGCTTCTCTAGCTCCACTCATATGTAAATACCTGTTTCTTTAAACTTGGACTCCTTGAGCTTTACAACTAAATGGGAGTTGCAAATCGTTAAAAGCCCAGGCGGCCTGGTGTTGGAGGCACACTAAAGTTTAGCTGATCATGTGTCCTTGAAGTCTGCCAGGAAAGCCGCTGTCTCAAGAATATCAAGGAGCCGGAGGCTCCCCAGACCTCAACTCCTCACTCCTGGCGCTGGAACCCACCTCAAACAGGAAGACGAGACAGGCGAAGGACGCGCACCTGCCATCCTCCTATCTCACCCTCCCCCCGCCTCGCTGCAAGCAGCCTCTCAAGGCCAAACGCAGGCTGGTGGAAGAGCGCCGACCTGCACAAGCTGCATGTTCCCCCTCCCCTACCTAAAACCCCAAATAAAAATCCCTACCCATTCCTCATCGGGGAGCTAGCAATTTTTGAGGCATGAGCCCTTGCTTTGCTCCCTGTGCCTGGCATGGTAAAAACCTTTCCTCTTCCACTCAAGACTCTGTTCTCATTATTTGGATTGGCATTGGGTTCAGAGACCGAACTTTCGGTTACAATATTTGTACATGTTGGTAAATTATCACCACAATAAATCTAGTTAATGTCCATCACCATGTGTAGTTACAAACTTTTTCTTGTGATGAGAATATTTAAGATCTACTCAACTTACAAATATACAATAAAGTATTGTTAACTATAGTCACTATTCTGTACATTACATCCCATGATTTACTTATTTTATAACTGGAAGTTTGTACCTTTTGACCACCTTCAACCATTTGCACTCCCTCTGGCAACCACCAATCTCATCTCAAGTTTGGTTTTTACTTAATTATTTGTTTAAAGGCAGGCTTGATTGGTATGTTAATGAACAATACACCACGGATCAATAATACTTATCCCAGGAATTTAATGTGCTTCAAATTTAGGAAATCATTTGACATTCATTTATTGAATAAAAAGATCTATATAAAAGTTGGCAAGCCCAATAGGAATCAAAACGTAGATAATTTTTAACAGCCATTGCTGCAAATGGTGGGGTGTACGTGTCTGGGGCAAGGGGATGCAGCCTCTCAAAGTAGGACAATAGGAATATATCTTTCAAACAAGAAATACTGTGCATTTTTCAGTGAAAGATACTTTCTCTTGAACACGGAAGCATTAAGAATGACAATGAGCATGCAAGAATTGCTGCTGTGAACCATAAGTATTTAATATTATTCTAATAATTGAAAACAATTCATAGGATGAAAATAGAAATGGGATGTAAGCATTGTGAATCAAAGACAAATATATCGTTTTTAGTAGATAAGAATTTGAAGGTGGTGAGCCCTCAGATCTTTGAAGATTCAGCACCATGTGGGTCCTTCATCATCCATTTCAACAAATCTCCTAGGGCAGTTGTTTTCAAATTTTAGCCTTGCATAAGATTCACCTGGATCCACCTTATGCACTAATAAGATGCATACACACAAATGGCAGGGCTTTACCCTGGACTTTCTGATTCAGTACATCTGGGATGAAGGACACAAATTCCCAAGTCTAACAAGGTTCCAGGGGATGCTGATGCTTTAGTCTGGAGACGCTTAGAGAGACACTTCATTGTGTCCCTTGTACCTGGTCTAATAAAAGTTTCCCCTCTTCTGTTTCCACCTCCCCTCCTGCACGCCACATCCACCCTTTACTATGACACACTGGTTCTTTCAGATATCATCATGGAAACCCCTGGTGACCCTGACTCTTTCTCCTAGACTGACTTTTCCCCAGAAACTATAGGGAGATGCTCCAGGCACACATCACCCAGGCAAGCTGAATAACAGCTTCCCGAAGATGTCCGTGTACCGATCTCTGGAATGTGTGAAGATGATGTCTTAGATAGTGAAAGGTACTTCGCAGGTGTAAAGAGGTTGAGATGGGAAATTTATCCTGAATTATCTGGGTGGACTCAATGTAATCATAATTGTCCTTATTAACGGAAGCCAGGAGGGCTAGAGACAGATTTGAAGATGCTATTCTGTTGACTTTAAAGATGGAGAAGGTGACCACGAGCCAAGAATGCAGGGACACTATAGAATTTGGAAATGGCAAAGAAACAGATTTTCCTCTAGAGTCTCCAGAAGGAAAGTAGCTCTGCTGATACATTGTAATCTTCTGATTCCCAAAACTGTAAGATAGTGAATGTTTGTTGCTTTAAGCCACTCCACTTATTTCAATTTGTTACAGCTGCAATAGGAAACACATACACCTCTCTTCCAAAATCTGCCTCTCTTACTGCTGCCTTAGATCGGTCCCCATCATCTCTCCCCTGGACTACTTCAACAGCCTCCTAGCTGTTCCCTCTGCCTCCAGTTTTTCCCACTCACAGCAATCCTAAATTCCTCATATTATGCCTATGATTACAGCATGGCCCTGGTGCTCAATTACTTTTAAAATCCTTAATTTGTCAAATTAGACTCTCAATAGTCTGCCCTCCATCTACGTATCTAGGCTTATTTCAAAATAACTCAGTCCATATATCCTCCTGAAATTCCTTACTCTTGAATTTCTCCATGCATATGTGCATGTGCTTCCTTCTTCTCCTAGATCTTACTGTCCTATCCTCTGTGCTTCCCACCAAAACCCGTTCTCCAGTTAACTTTCTACTGATTGTTAGTTATTCAATGCTCAAGTATATTCTCCTATTAGAAGTTTTCCTGGGGCTGGCCCCGTGGCCGAGTGGTTAAGTTCACGCGCTCTGCTGCAGGCAGCCCAGTGTTTCGTTGGTTCAAATCCTGGGCATGGACATGGCACTGCTCATCAAACCACGCTGAGGCAGCATCCCACATGCCACAACTAGAAGGACCCACAAAGAAGAATATACAACTATGTACTGGGGGGCTTTGGGGAGGAAAAGGAAAAAAATAAAATCTTAAAAAAAAAAAAAAAAGAAGTTTTCCTGACTCCCAAATGTTGGCAAAGATGTGGAAAACCTGGAACCTTCACTTATTGCTGATGGAAATGTAAAATAGTGAAGCCACTTTGAAAAACAGTTTGGCAGTGTCTTAAAAAGTAAGCACAAATTTATAATATAACCCTTTGGTTACACTCCTCATTGCCTACCGAAAAGAAATAAAAACACACGTCAGCACAGAGACATGTATGCAAATGTTCATTATATCCCAAACTGGAAATATCCAAATATCTATCAACTGGTAAATGGATAAACAAAATGTGGCATATCCACACATTTGAATACTATTCTGAAGTTGTAAGGAACGAAATACTGATATGTGTCTCCACATGGATAAATCATTATGCTAAATGAAAACCAGATACGAAAGATCACATATCATATGATTCCGTTTATACAAGATATTTAGAAAAGGCCAATTTATAGAGACAGAACGCAGATAAGTGGTTGCCTAGGATGGAGGTGGGAGCGGGAATTAACTGCAAATGGGCACAAGGGAACTTTTTGGGATGACAGAAATGTTCTAAAACTGGACTGTGCTGATGGTTGCATAACTATAAATTTATTAAAATTATTGAATTCACATTTTCAAAGGGTGAATTTCATGGTATGTAAATTATACATCAATAAATCTGTAAAATCCATTTTTAAAAGTTTTCTCTGGAATTACTCAAGCTGATTGAACGCTTTTACCTTTGTTTTCAACAGGCTCTATTGCACCCCAGTGTTGTTATGTTCACCACTCTGTGTTGCGGTCATGTTACCTCTTTGGTCCCCTCTTCAGCTTGTCTACAGCAGACAAAAAACACACACTGGAAAATAAACTTAATGGGATCAAAGTGAATTGAAGCCACACTAAATATGTTTTTCCTCACTAACAAATTATGTTTTTTCAGTAATATAAAGATCTTACTAGATACACAATACTTGGTTTCTTTTCTTTTCTTTCACCAAAAGTCCATAGTTCCATTCATGATAATGTTTTGATACCCTTTGCAGTCTCTATGACCTGTTTTGGCTTTTCTCCCTGAAGCAGATGCTGAGACAAGGATTCAGGTGCAAGCACTTTATTGATTGGAGTAGAAAACATAGAACATAGGTTAGAGAGAGGAGAACTGACATAGGGAAGAAAATACATCCAATAAAGCTTACCTGAAGTCAGCTTCCACAATAAGTCAAAGAGTTTTCAGCCTATAGGGAAATTCTGAAAAATGGTGCAAAATCCAGACTTCAGAATTATCCCAGTTAAGGGGTGAAGGAGATGGTGTAATCCATACCTCTCCATCAAGAGCTGTTTCTGGTGGAGCATAATTCCATGTCACTTCTGCCATCATGCATTGAGTAAATTAGGTTGCACCTGGTGCAGACCATTGGCAATCAGGCAATCATGGAGACTTCTACTGATCATTTGTTACTGGTGATGGTGAGAGGATACCAGGGAATGTGGGAGAAATGCTACCAGCTTCTAATACTCCCTCCTTCGCTGCAGACTTGATTCTATCAATATTCTTCTCAAAGTGAACTAAGTTCTGAATGCATTCCACAAGCATGAAACTACCATTCCTGATGGCACCTGCAGAGGGTATCCTGCCCCCAAGAGAAAGCATGTGAGAGAATAAATATTACTCTCCTACATTCATCATTAGATGTTTTTGGACCTTTGGTGTATCTTAAAACTGAAATGAGGGGAAATAAAGGTCCAATAACACAGGGAAGGAAGGAAGGAATAAAGAAAGGAAGAAAAGAAGGAAGGATGGAAGAAAGGAGGAAGGAAGAAAGGAAAAGAGTGAAGAAATATCTCAGAATTATCCTGTGAAATATATTACTAGGAATCACCTGGACAAACTAGCTTTCAAATCTAGATTCCTACTCTTGAAGTTGAAAATCACATCACTGTTTTCATGAAAAGTATGATAGCAAAATTAGGTATGTGGGCTCAGTGTCAGGTTTCCAGATTAGTTTAGCCCAATTTTAATCTATTTCTCTGAAAAATTGGGTAAATGAGAAAAAAAAACCCTCAAGGAAGTGTTGTCAGGATTACATAAAATTATACATGAAAAGTGACAAGAATATCTTTGATATGGCAAGCACTTTGGTCATGACTATTGTATGATTTTCATTCCATTTCTTCCAGGGAAAAACAAACACACAACCCAGTTAAGGTGAAGACATCAGCATTCAGAGTATAATTTTGGGGGGAAATAATGCCAGCACTTGATATAAGTGCTTCAGGTCTAATGCTGGAAATCTCAGGAATGGCTGTAAGAAAGTGGACCAAAACCAGAACTTCATGGGCTATAAATATGGAAGGAAAGTCATAAAGGAATTACTGAGGAAGTTATTGAAGAGAAGCTAACACAAAAAGAAATAAAAACAGTCATAGGCGCTGTGGGAATAGAAAAAAATGAAACATGTCATTTGGGGGAGAAAAGGAGCAAAGAGATCAAATTCACAACATTTGCCTTTGAGGCCCATAATGTCCACTTAGTTCTGAGGCAACTGACTAATCATGGACAAGAGGCTGCTTGGCAGAGGAGCCTTCCCAGGGCCCTCTTCACATCCTTGTTCCTCAGGCTGTAGATGAAGGGGTTCAGCATGGGGGTGACCACAGTGTACATCACTGAGGCAATCGAGCTTCTCTGGGAAGAATGGGTCGCGGCAGAACCAAAGTAGACCCCCAGGCTTGTCCCATAGTACAAGGAGACCGCAGAGAGATGAGACCCACAGGTGGAAAATGCTTTATATTTTCCCTCTGCAGAGGACATCCCCATTAAGGAGGAGACAATTTGAGAGTAAGAGAAGAGGATTCCAACAAGAGGAAACACACCTAGCAGGGCAGTGGCCACATACAAGACGATGTTATTGATGAAGGTGTCAGAGCAGGCTAACTTGAGAACCTGAGCCAGTTCACAGAAGAAGTGTGGAATTTCAGTGCCTATACAGAAATTCAGCTGCCTCAACAGTAGAATATGAAGCAGAGAGACCCAGAAAATTATGAACCAGCACATCAGAACCAGGAGGCCACAGAGGCGTGGGTTCATGATGACCATGTAGTACAGGGGGTGGCAGATGGCCACAAACCTGTCATAGGCCATCACAGTCAAGAGGAAACCATCAAGTCCGGCAAAAATCATAAAAAAATATATCTGAGTGAAACATCCTACATAGGAGATGGTTTTGCTCTGTGTCTGGATGTTCACCAGCATCTTTGGGACAGTGGTGGAGGTGAAACAGATGTCGACAAAGGACAGATTGAAGAGGAAGAAGTACATGGGGGTGTGGAGGTGGGAGTCACAGCTGATGATCAAGATGATGAGAAGGTTCCCGAACACAGTGACCAGGTACATGGACAGCAACAATCCGAAGATCAGGGTTTGCAGTTCAGGATCCTCTGAGAGACCCAGGAGGAGGAAGTCTGATACTTCTGTGTGGTTTCCTGCTCCCATGTAGCAGCTGTGTCTGCTGGAAGAGGAGGCGAAAGCAATGTTCAGTGACCAGCCAACTAGCACCTCGGCTGGTCATTACCTTTTGAGTCCACCTTTCCATGTACATCCTTCACCTGCTTTAAGTGACAGTGAATTCACTCGGTCAAATGGAAGTCCATTTTCTTTTAAATGTAATTGTTTAGCCTTTCTAAAATTTAGCAGCAATCTCTTTTTATCTCCTACTCACTCGTTCTAATTCTATTTGAGGCTATGAGTATAAACCAATTTCTTCTATGATATGACCCTTCCAAAATAATCGAAGACATTCAATGTCTTTTCCTTGATAATCTCCATCTTTCCTTCATTTGAATAGCTCTGTGATAGTTATAATAGATGTGGATTCTCAACTAAAACAAACTTAATTCTGTAACCTGATTCTCCCTATCGATGTCAAAGTTAACTTTCATGTGCCTTACTTTATTTCTTTCTGAAAATATGGTTACTGCTACTACCTTCTTTGTAAGGTTTAGAAATGCCTTTGGGCACAGTATGATCTCAATAAATTATAGCTATTATTATAATTATTAACTTATTCCCTTTAAGACAGTTATTTTTGATATATAACTCTCCAAAAGTGCAATATGGAGATACGATTTAGGAAATGAGATCTTGAGTCAGACTTCCAAGAAAAGAATTTTGGCCCACCAATATACCATTGTGTGACCTGAGAAAGTCACTTAATCGCTCTTAGCTGCAGATACCTCACCTCTACAGTGAGAGTAGTAAATATTTCCTACATTGTAAGACTGATGAGTGAATTAAATGAGATGATGCATGTAATTTTTCTTGAGATTCCTGTGACATACAGTGGACACTTGTTAAATGTTCTTAACGTCTGTTCTTAACATCATAATAAACGTATCTTGCATGGCTATCACTTATAAAATTTCCCTTAAATAGGGTAGTCATCAAAGATGGAATTCTGATCATTATTAACATAACAGGTCTTTTACCTCTTTTGACCCTCATACAGCACTTCTAATTAAGGACGATCCCTGTGGCTCCCTTTCAGAGACTGCCTGACACATGGATTCTTTCAAGGAGAGGGAAAAAATGTAGACTACATAGATAAGAGGAGAAAACAAAATCAGACAACCATTAAAATAAAATACAAGGTAGGTGTGAGAATGTGTGCCCAGGTGCAAATGCTCAGAAGTTGGGATGCATTGTATTAAGAATACATGCAGTTAGTTGTTTTAAAAAATGATAGATGTGGTTAAAAATATACAAAGTTTCTATACTAAAAACATCCTTAAAAATTAAAAGGCAAATTTATGATGACAACTTTAAATCCCCATGATAGATAAAAGGTCAGAGTTATTAATTCTTCAAGAATGTGAGTAATTGAAGAGAGAAAAAACAATGAGAACTAATTTAGACTGGGGTTGAAAAGGCTTCTCTAAAATATGATTATTTAAGCTATGAGAAGAAGGATGGTAATAGTTAAACCAGGGGAAATAAGGAAAAAACAAGCATTTTGGACTGAGAGAACACAATTGATGTTTGCCCTCTGGGTCAGTGAACTTGAGAATGGAAGGGATTTGAGAGGCCAGTGAGATGGAGAAAAGAGAGTGAGCGTCAGGAGGACAAAGTGCGTGAGACCCACAAGGCCAGCATCCAGCACTGTTTCTTGATGTACCTCTCATGTTGGTAATTTTATGTTTCTTTGGGGGTCAGAACATGTGACTGTTTTTACTCTCCAATATCTTTCGAGGGATTTACATGGTGCCTGGAACATAGTAGGTGGTTACCACACACAAATGTTATATGTATAATAAATATAGAGACCAAAAACATCAACTATGACACAAAAAAGAAAACTTCAAGCTCACCGTATGCCTGAACGTATGCACAAAATTGAAGAATAAAGTTAAATCAAATGCATTCTTATCTATTTTAAGAAACTAATACACCATTAATAAGTAATACCTGTTTTAGGAATGAGAAGCTGTTTTAATACCAGGGTGTTTGTAACATAATTCAGCACAAAAACTGGTCAATGAAGAGAAATCATAACCATAACCACAATGGAAAATGCATTTGAGAAAATGTAACAACCACTACAGTGGTTAGCAGCAAAGACAAAGCCTCTCACTAAATAAGGAAACTAAGGACAATTTCTTAACCCAATAAACAATGGTTATTTTAATCTACAGCCAACAAGATATTCTACATTAAAGCGCTAAAATATTTATATCACATTCATGAAGAGACAAACCAAGGCAGTCTACTCCAACTGTAATCACTTGATATTCACCTGAACATTTAAAGAAACTGGTAAAACGAGAAAAGGAAATTAGCCTGAGTACCAAACATCAGAAGTAATTATATTATTAGCAGATATATCGTGGACACTAAAGTGAAACAGCAAGTACAAACAACAGAGAACTATTGAGTGCTATCAGCGAGTCACAGCTGCTGTGAAAACAAGGAATATAAAAGAAAAATCCAACCACATGAGGAATAAAATAGACAATAGCTCATGCGTAATAGATCTCCAGTGAGTAGTTAGTGAAAATGATTGGACACAGGAAATCCAAAAAGAGCCACAATTATGGGAAAGAGTAGAGAAGAGCTGGAGATTCTCCAGAAAATAACACTTATCTGAAAAGGGCCCTAGATTACAAAAAGAGAAAGAAGGAAACAGAACAAGAGCTGGAAAAGACAGGGTTCGGTGGAAACTAAAGTACCTTTAGAGTATAGAGACTTTGCTATTGTCAGTTAAATAAATAGGAGACTCTTCCAGTCTGAATCTTCTAGAGGTAAAGCCCAGTACACACTTCTGCTCCTCTTTTCCTTCTCACTCCACCAGCCCTCACAAAGATACACTGACACTCTCTGATGGGTAACACTGATGCTTTCTGTTCTCCGAGGTCTGTCCCTGGAAAGCCCAATTGTGTTTTCACCTGGACAGGGATCAGAGAATTATAGGAAAATGGCAACAGGGATATGTTATCATCTCAAGGATTGAATTCTCAGAGCTCCTCACTAAATAAATTATTCTTCTGACTTTCCTCTTTCCAAACAAACAATTCAGTTCCCTTGAGGTACAAAAATAAGAGAATGGAAAAATTTCAGCCAATCTTGTGTCTGTGTAGGCAACAGTGGGGGAAGAAGAAGGTATTTTCTCAGAGGAAAAATTCTTCTTTCTTTGGTTTGACTTAAAAGTGACAAGGTGTGCCCTAGGAATGTTTAATTTCTACAGGAACCAAACCCAGGGACTAATTCAATGTCATGTTCTTCCCTTGAAGAATCTTTGTTGATTTTAAGGATCACTTGGTGTCCACAATGTAACGGAGGCAAAGAAGTCCTTTCTGAAGAAAAGCAGAGTGGTTAATAGTTTTGGTTTTGTTGAAAGGACTAACCAAGTGAGGATGGAAAACATCCTCTGGCATTTGTTGGTGACACTGAGGCCTTTGTTGATATTAGTGAGGGATCCATGTATTACCTTTAAATAGAGGGTCTAGGGCAGAAATAATCCAGGTAGAGTGGGTTTAAGAGTTAATATTGAGGAAACAGAGGTAGCAAATATAAATCATATACAAAGTTTGTCAGAGGAGCGGAGGACAGAGTTAATCCATACCCTTAGGAGGGTATCAAGAATGGGAGAGTTTAAAGAATAAGAAGAATAAGCTCTTAATCCAGAAGGATGATCCGGGCTATGCAGCACAGCATTCACTAGAGTCCATCCCTTGGGACATTTAGATCAACTTTTTTTAAAAAAAATTGAGATATAATTGACATGTAACATTATATTAGTATCAGGGGTGCAACATAAAGATTCAATATTTGTATACTTGGTGCAATTATCACCCCATTAAGTCTAGTTAATGTCCAACACTACATGCAGTTACAAATTATTTTTCTTGTGATGAGAACGTCTAAGATCTACTAGCTTAGCATCTTAGAAATATTCTATACAATATTATTAACTAAAGTCACTATTCTGTACATTACATCCCATGACTTATTTATTTTATAACTGAAAGTTTGTACTTGAAACCACCTTCACCCATTTGCCCCTACCCCCTGCAGCCTCCATTCTGTTCTCTGTATCTATAAGTTTGGTTTGTTTTGTCTGTTTGTTTTTAAGGCTATCTTGATCAGGTGTTAAAGAATAATACAGCACGGGTCAATAGTGCTTATCCCAGCAATTTAAATATGCTTCTACTTTAGAAAATCTACATATATTCATTTATTTCATAAATATATCAAAACGGAAGCTGGCTTTTGATAGGAATCAAAATTTACTTGATAATTATTAACAGACATTGCTGCAAATGGTGGGGTGTATGTGTGTGTGGTGATACAGGCTCTCAAAGTAGGGAAATAAGGATATATCTTCCAGGTGATAAATAATGTGAAGTTTTCAATGAGGGGTAATGTTCTTTTCAACATGGAAGCATTAAGAAATGATAATTAAGAGTGATGTCAGCATCATGGCAGAGTGAGTTATTCCTTTTGTCTCTTCCTTCTAAGTTACGACTAAATGGACATTTATTAACCAACAGAGGATTCCCCACACAGCACAACAGGACACCTGAGAGATCCATGCAGCTATACATCTGAAGGTGGGTGGGCTGGAAAACTGGGAGGCAGTGGAACTAGAGGAGTAGCCCCCTCTCCCTCCCTGGAAGCAGTGGTCCGGGTCATGAATTCTCACACAGAGGCCAGTGCAACTGTGCGTGGATGTGGGTTCAGTCCAGTCAGCACATGATCACTTACAGAGTGGCATCAGCCTGGCCCATGGGAGTGCCCACCATGCCACAGCAGCCCCACCCATGCAAATGCCTGCATTGAGTGGCAGTGTCTCGCCACACTCAAAGGCACCCTGCTCAAGTGGCACCCCTGCCCATCAAGGATGGTGGCTCCACCCTCGTGAGCATCACCCACTGAGAGGCAATAGCCAAGCTCATGCAAAGATGCCCCACCCAGCAGCTGTGGCCTGGCTTGCACAAATGCAGGGTGGCCTGACTGGTGCAACTATGAGCAGATGGGGCAGGAACAGAAAAAAATCCCCCTTTCCACAACCCCCACCCCCAGTGCTGGAAGGTGGAAAATGCAATCAGAATCAACAGGAACCACAGCTGAACTGGTGACCCAGTCCCCAGTGGTGGCAACTCTGACACCAGCTCCACCAGCACTGGGGGATGTATACAAGTCTCCAGGTCCCCAGGCCCCAACCAGTGACATGACACTTATGAACCAAACATCCCAAGCAGTGGTGCAACCAGCAGCCCAAGACAACCCAGAAACAGCAACACAGGTGGTGCATGGGACAGCAGCATTTAAGCCACTGGAGAGTCAGTGGGGGAACATGAGACCCAGATGACAAGAACCAAAGTATCCAAAGATGTACCCAAATAAGACAAGGTGATTACTACCATAAAAGTGCCAGAAAACGATCAATTCATCAAAGAACAGGAAGAACTACAGTAACACTACAGAACAGAAGGAAAATGACAACTCTCCAGAAAATCAACCTGAAGTCACAGATTACAATCTAACTGGCAGAGAATTCAAAATAGCTGTTAT